GGTTCTTGCCTTTAAGACTCTCAGTTAGGAGAGAGATTTGATCAGTAACAACAGTGTAGTGTGATGGATACGATTCAAACACTCGGTAAAAACACTGGGTAAACCTGACGAAAAGCAGGATGAAAGTGTGTGAGGGCGTCCACTTTAATATGAGAAGGAAAGCAGAAATTCCAAGGGAGCTCTGCATAGCTGGTTAGCCCTGGTGTTCTGTACAATAGCTATGAGGAAAGTGAAAGAACATTTTATAGGGTGGGATAATGGATTGGAACAGCCTATAAGGATTATGAACCAACTACTTAATGAGGAAGAAGGAATGTTCTCTCAATGATCAACTATGTAGAGGGCATTGTCTGTTTACTTCTAAAATTCTCTTTAACCCTCAGCCTTAAAGCCACGGGAAACCAAGGAGTGATGTTGGCAGGCCAGGAGGGCAGCTAGAAACTAATTGATGCTGATCGAAGATAGAAAGGTGTTGCCTAGAAACCGAGCATGCCAGCACATCCTGTAATCTCAGGCAAATGGAGAAGGCGCAGGCATCTGAGACCAGCCTGAGCTATGTGGTGAGACTTTAGAGGGGTGGGGGGAAGAGCTGAGGTATAAGAGCCTGACACAAGGAGGATGTGTTTGAGGCTAAAAGGAGAGTATAGAGTGTAAATGGAACAAACCAAGAAGAGGCACCCAGAAAAGGCTTTGATGTTTCCCTGTTAGTCTTCATTTAGGGAAGTGGCTACAAACCAACATACTCAATGCAGAAGGAATGAAGACAAAGCAGAACATCACTGTCTGGAATTCCAGCACTTTGAGCAGTCTGAAGCAGGAGCGTCACTGGCAAAATGCAGTGGGATTTTTCGTTTCGTTTTAAGATTTATTTATTTATTTACTTACTTATGTATACAGCATCCTGCCTGCATATATGCCTGCAGGCCAGAAGAGGGCACCCGATCTCATGACAGATGCTTGTGAGCCACCATGTGGTTGCTGGGAATTGAACTCGGGACCTCTGGAAGAGCAGCCAGTGTTCTTAACCGCTGAGCCATCTTTCCAACCTAAAATGGTAGTTGTTGATAGAGTGCTTGGCTGGTGTGCATGAAGTCCTGGTTCCAATCCTCAGCAGCATAAAAACAAACAAACAAACAAACAAACAAACAAAAACAGGACATGCTGACTCACCCTTGTAATCCCAGCATTTGGAACAGAACACAGAATGATTACTGTGAGCTGGAGGCCAGCCAAGACTACAAAGCAAGACCCCACCTCTGCTCCTAAAATTTTCTTTTAAAAGGGAAATTAATTTTAGTTTTATTAATTCTTTTAAAATTATTATTCCTTTATGTGTGCAAGTGTTTATATCTGTGCACCATGTATGTGCCTGATGTCTGGGGAGGTCAGAAGAGGGCATCAGATCCCCTCCCTGCAACTGGAGTTACTAGCAGATGTGATGGACCATGTAGGTGCTGAGAATCGAACCAGGTCTGCTGTAAGAAACGTTCTTGACCATTAAGCTAGCTCTCCACCCCCCAGGAAATGCTTTTGGAAATTTTTTTTCTCTCAAAACTTTATTAGGTAGAGTTTGGGAAAGATTTATTTTATGTATATGAGTACACTGTTGCTGTCTTCAGACACACCAGAAGAGGACATCGGATTCCATTATAGATAGTTATGAGCTACCATGTGATTGCTGGGAATTGAACTCATACCCTCTGGAAGAGCAGTCAGTGCTCTTAACCGCTGAGCCATCTCTCCAGGAAATTATATTTATTTATGTGTGTGTGAAGGTCATAGGACACTTGCAAGAGTTGATTTTCTTCTTCCACCCTGTGGGTTTTGGAAATTGAACTCAAGTTGTCTTAAGAACAAGTACTTTATTGGCTGAACCATCTCACCTGTAATGCTTTATAAAAGTCTTAGGGCTGGGTTCAATCTCTGGCACCACATAAAATGGCATACCTGTAGTTTCAGCACTCAGAAAATGGAAACAGAACTGTCAGGAGTTCAACTCAACTACATGAGACCTTATCTCCAAAAACTACATTAAAAAGTTTAAAGTGTATAAGACCCTGTTTGGTTTGTCAAAACCAAAATCCTTCAATGAACTAAACTGTATTTTGTTGTCTCATGATTATAAAACCATAAAGAAATACTATGATCCCTAGTAAAGATGATGGAGGAGTGTATAGACTCACAGTGAGAGATTGCCCAATCTATTTCAGAGTCAGAGATGAGGTCTGCGGAGAAAACCTGACATCTGCCATTTACCAGACCCCGAGGTTAACATGGCTCTCAGCTGCAGCCTCAGGCACTGTGAGCAAGGCTCAGGAGTGGAGCACCTGGAGAGCTTGAGAAAACAAAAACTAAAGGCACCAGTTTCTGGCTAAATTCCAGAAGCCCAGGAGAGGATGTGCTGCCTCAGTGACTGAAGCTGAGAATGGGTGGGAGAAGTTACAGAATGTAGATAGTGAGACAGATGCTGCAGGGGGCTGCTGGCCGATGCCCAAAGCCGGAGACAGAGAAAAAGGAAAGGGGGGGGGCAAAGAAAACAGGACCTGTCTGATAACATTACCTCAAATCCTTGAAAAATCAGAAAGTTGGATTCCTATCTGAGTCAGCCTGCTCTTCTAGCTAGAGGAATAAAATTTTAAACTTTTAATTTCCTTCTATGTGTGCGGGTGTTGTGTGTGTACCAGCGAATGTGTGACTGAGGGGACCAGAGGAGAGTATCAGGTCCCAAGGAACTGGAGTAACAGATGGTCATAAGCTGACCTTATGACCTGTGGGTGCTGGGACTCAAACCTAGGTCTTCTGGAAGAACAGACAATGCTCAGTATTATTAATTGCTGAAGGATCTCTCCAGCCCGAAGGAATACTTTCTTATGTGGTTTATAAAAATACATACTATTTATTTTGTGTGTGTTGTATATGGGCGTATGCCACATATGTAAGGTCAACCTGTACGTAGGTATAACTTTTTGGCAACCTACTTTTACCCTCTCCTCTAGCCCACCACTCAGCAGAGGTAGTGGAGGAGAAAAGTTACTAGGATGTGGGGGAAGTGGACCTGCTCAGCAGTAGTTCTTTGGGGGTGCGCTCGATCTTCTTGGGTAACAGTTCAGTCCAGTAGCAAACAGTAAATATGATTCAGCAGCTGCAGACCAGTCCTCTAGGCAGACAGACACCAGGCATGAACCACCAGCTACAGTCCAGTTCTTTCAGCAAGCAGAACCAGGAAGCTATAGTTCAATCCTGAAGAAACCCCAGGCTCGCCGGGCGTTGGTGGCGCACGCCTTTAATCCCAGCACTTGGGAGGCAGAGACAGGCGGAGTTCTGAGTTCAAGAGGCTAGCCTGGTCTACAGTGTGAGTTCCAGGACAGCCAGGGCTACACAGAGAAACCCTGTCTCGAAAAAAAACAAAAACAAAAGAAAAAAAAAACAAACAAACCCCAAAATAAAAGAAACTCCAGGCTCTCCAACCAGCCTTGGGCAAGCAAGGCTGCAGAAGGGGCAAGCTGCACTGGAATGAGTTTCTCTCAATGTCGGAGTTACCATGAGTTTAACAATGCTATGTAAGGAGAACCAATACGTGTGTATGTTAGCGAAGAATAGCAAGGCAGAGCAAACTGAGGCTCAGGGCGCATCTCCCACTGTCTGCGGGGTCATATTTATGCTCTTTTATCAAGCGTCCTTTCATGTGTTTGCCTTAGCCAAACATTCTTTCACCTGTGTCCACTTCAGGAGAAGTCTTTCATGTGTTTGCTTTAGCAAGACATCCTTTTACCTGTGTGCTCCAGCGAAACATTACTTGACATAACTTTCCAAAGAACTAGAAGTTTCCACTTCACCTGTAGAGTTTGTCTTTCCTCCTTGTAGGTCCTAAGGATTGGACTCAGGCCATAAAGCTTGAAAACATGTGTCTTTAGTTGTTGGCCCATCTCACCAACCCATATGTGGGTTTGTTTCTTTTCTGATTCAGTTTTTTTTTCAGATAGTGCCTAACAACGTAGTCCTGGCTGGCCTACAACTCACCATGTAGACCAAGCTGGCCTCAAACTTACATAGATTCATCTGCCTCTGCCTTCCAGTGGTGTAATTTAAAGGTGTGGGCCATCAAGCAAGCACAGTAGGCCTTTTTCTTCCTTTTGATACAGGGGTTCTGCTATGGTACCATGGCTGCATAGAACTTATCCGGTACCCAGGCTATCCCAGAATTCACAATGTAGCCCAGGCCACATTAGAACCTCAAGTAATGTTGCCACTGCCCCTGCTCAAGGGGATCTGAAGGGCTCAGGCTCAGCCAGAGCAGCCAAAGAGTTACAGCTTTCCAAGGGGAAGACAGTGAGACGCAGTGGGTAGTTTCGGGCCAAGGAGCAGGAAGTGGCTGCGGTCAGGCAGGCTAGCACACCCAGCTCCTTGCATGAAGTCGAAGTCCAGAGACAAAAGGCTTGGGAGAGAACACTCTTCCCTGGAGTGTTACAGTTCAATAAGACAGGCACTCTCAGCCGATCTTTGGTGAAATACCTCGTGTACTTTACTCCTTGTGGATAGGATCTTAAAAAACATTGGGGGTGGGGTGGGCTCTAGAGGCAGATGTTTTCAATTTGCTTGGTGTGCGATGTTAGGGATGCCTCATCTGCATGTGGAATGACTTCAGGTGTTGTCCCTACATGACTGATTGTCACAGTCCTCTCAATGGGGTGTGTGTTCCAGTGCAGGAACCTAGATCCTGAATCCACTCAACCTCACCAGGTTTTCTGTCTGGTGGCATAGTCCAGTGTCCCACAACCCACTGCCCCACAACCTAGCTCCAAGAGTTTTTAAAGGCTATTAGGTAATTATTTGATGTGCACTCTGTGCTGGAAAGTGCTGTTTAAGTCAGTTTTGGTTGTTCAGCAGACTGCTTTAATTGGGTGGTAGGGAACAGACGAATGGACAAGGGTCCTGATTAACACTAGATTAACACTAGAACCATTTTTTTGTCCACTTGACAAATTAAATGTGTCTAATACTTCATTAAATGTGCTTTTTATTTGAGTTTTTCATGTGTAAAGTACCACAAGGATTTGCCTAGCCCAGCAAAGTGGCCCTGAGAACCGTCACAAACCAGTAAGCCTTCTATCTAGCCCTGTTTCTCCAGCCATTCTTTATAGGCCCCAGCATAGTTTTGAGCCCTGTGGAGAAAAAGAAATGTTGAGGACAGGATAGTCCAGTAGACAGTCCCCATGAGTCCCCAGCTAGCATGTGTTATGTATGCTTGTCATACCCTGTGTATCCAAGACTTTGTGCCAGTTGTGTGGCCTGGAGACCTCGCCTGCCCATCTGACAGAAGAAAATAAGATTCCTGTCTTCTAGTTTGGGCTTCTCAGCACAGTACAAAGTCTGAAAAGCAGCTGGGTCCATATTCAAGGCGATTTCCAACTCTGACACTGAGAGAGGACGAGACAGAAAGCCGTGGTACACCGAGGTTCACAAGACGGGGCTGAAAGAGCTGAATCCCAGCAGCAGCCTATCTGCAGGGACTGTCCCAACAACATATGGTGGCCACCCCCACCCCCATACCATCCTCAAAGACAAGAACGTACCAGTGCAAAGTTAGGCCAGCAAACGCTGCCACTTCCTGAGTCTTAGGCAGGCAGTGGAGATAAAGTGGATTAAAGCATCCAGCCTCAGGGAAGTCAGCATTCAGATGGGGATCTGCCCCTCTGGCCACCTGCTATCCCCTCAAACTGGATAAGCTAGTTCCGCTGCCAGGATCTATCTCCATTTAGCCTTTCTCTTGGGAACCTGAGGGCTGGCTTGAGCAAATATAAGGCACTATGTCTACCAGCACTGCCCTCACTGCGTACTAAATGAGGCTCCTTTAGTTAAGACCATCATGGACTGTTCCTCTGCCAAACAAGGGAAATCTTATACCAGGGATGTTGAGTGCCCCAGGAATGGTACCAGCTGCTGCCTCCTCCCGAGATCGAACATCGAAGAGCCTGGCCCTGCCTGAGGCTAGGAGTAAACGGAGTTCATTGAAGGAGACTGTAGGCACTGGGAAAGAGGACATAAAAGACTTGAGGGCCAAGGGACCACAAGACACTTGTGGCCTCTGCACTCCCCTCCCTGGCAGCTTCCCAGCCCAGTGTAGCTGTTTGAGAACTGCAGCCACAGCCCATGCTCCTCTCTCCACAAACAACCCTACCCAGGGGACCAGCATACGTCTCACACTCACATCCCCATCCCGCGTCACACTCACATCCCCGGGGTTTCTCAAGGTACCTCCAGCCATGGTTCCAGCAGCAGCACTTGTGTGACTCTGATGCAGAACTGTAACCCGAAACATCTCCCTCTCCCTCCCAGAGCCCAACCAGAGCCCGGAACCGGAAGCAAGGGCATGGCCCCTGGAGTACACACACACACACACACACACACACACACACACACACACAAAGGGAATCTGATAGCACCTGTTGGTGATACCTATAAACACTCACTCACAGTTGAAACCTTTATAGACTGCCCAGGTTAGGCCGGAAATTTCACCCACGTTTGGCACAGGTACCAGGACTCGGGGTAATGAGTATAGAACAGTAGCACCCCACTCAAAGGTTGACCCAGCCCTTACCGGTCAAAGAGTAATATGCACTCTCCCTTCCCCCAGGGCCCCACAAAAGGAGGAAGACAGACAACTGTGGCTCTAAACAATTTTATCTTAAAAAAAAAAAAAATGTCAAGAAATAAAAAGAACCATCCCTGGAGCAGGAAAGGCTCTCAGTGAACCCTCCTCTGCCTATAGTTCCCCCTGGCTCCAGAGCCTTCTATGGAGGCCTCAGCTGCTTACTGGTTCCTGGGATAGCAGCCAGCTAGCTAGCATTCTTCCCCACCTCTTGAGTAAGTCTGCTCCCCAGAGTAATCAGGTACATATCTTAACTTCTGCTTCAGAGAAAGGAAGAACCAGTGGAGGTACTAGGCCCACATACCCTCTCCCAGGCACTCTAAGCAAGCACATGGCAAGCCCAGATTCAGTGTGTCCAGTGTCCACCAAGGAGACAGCACATGCAGTGTGCCAAAGGGGCACCAGGGCCTGGGGACTGTGCGGTGGGAGCAGGTGAGGCTGTCGGTGTACGTCCACACTGTGTCTCACACCACTCACTGCAGACTGCCACACCATAGGGCCTCAGTTCAAAAGCACACTTGCCAAACTCCCCCGAGCCCCACGCCAGAAGTAGGCCGTGAAGGAGGTGCATGGGATTAGCCTGTTGCTCCTGGGCTGTCTGCAGTTCTCGGCCCAAAGGCCCTGAACCCCCAGAGTTAGTTGCTGTCATTCTTGATGACGACCTCTAGTCCGTGGTGCCGTAACTGAGCTCGTAGTAGCAGGTTCTTGTTTTTAAGATCTTCCACCTGCACAGAAAGGAAGCAGTAATGGAAATGATTAGGGAAAAAAAAATATTGATACCGCTAAGCCATGAACTCAGTTGCACAGCCACGGCTGAGGACAGTGGGAAGCGTGGTCAGTGGCTGCAGGGCTGCCAAGGGGGCCGTGCTGGATTCGTCTGACCTGCTGCCGAAGCACGTCATTGTCCAGCTGCAGCTGATCTAACCCCTGAAGCTCCTCAGACAGCCGGTGGTTGCTCTGCCGCAGCTCCTGGATATAATCACAGGCTTTGGACAGGATCCCACCTTTACTCTGCAAGGCAAAGCCAACAAAGTGAGGGTGAAGGCCTCGAACACCTCGCTTGCCTTCCAAGAGCGTACACATTCACACTTTGGGGCTGCTTCCCCTCAGAGTGGGGATGCAGCATCTCAGAGACTGCTATGAAGAGGGCTGCCAGGACGCTCTACTCCACACCATTTCTGTTAACAATGCCTTCTGAACTCTAGCCTTCTGCCCGTTACCAGGGTCTTGCCAGGACCTGGCCAGACTTGGTGCTCTCCATAGAGCAGTCTGGGATGATTTTGGACAGCTGTACAATCCAGTTGTTGATCTTGTCCCGGCGGCGACGCTCCACTGTAGGGCAGAGTGAAGGACAGAGTGACTCACCAGCCTTCCTTTCCTCACACTCCAGTTCCCAAATCTACTTAGGCTGTTCCTGGCTTCACACCTGGATACCACCTACCTTCGTTATGTTGAGCCCTCCGTTTCTCATCTCGAGTTGTCCTGGGAGCCTCTGACTTCCTGGTAATAGAGTCCAGGGTGGCCAGACCAAGGAAAAGAAGCAAATAAAACCAAGACTGGTGTTTAGGGTGAGGAATTACATCAGACTTGGCAGGCACTAAAACCACTCATAATAACAGATAAGGTCACTCACGGGGAATAAGGGTGGGTCCTGGGGGCAATTGATCGCTGGCTCCCTCCCTGCAATACTTCTTGTGGTGACATCATCACAAAGAATTGACCTGTGAAGGTATGAGGCAGGTTTTATCAGAACCTGGACCTAGGAACCTTATCTAGACCTTGGGACCCGTTTGAGAACATGCTCCCACCAGTTCGTAAAGCAGCTCAGACTCACTCTGTGCTCTGATCCTTTTTTTTTTTTTTTTTTTGCTTTTTTGTTTTTTTTTTTTTTTTCAAGACAGGGTTTCTCTGTGTAGCCCTGGCTGTCCTGGAACTCACTCTGTAGACCAGGCTGGCCTCGAACTCAGAAATCTGCCTGTCTCTGCCTCCCAAGTGCTGGGATTAAAGGTGTGCGCCAAGCAGGGCTCTGATCTTAATAATTACTAAGAGTCACATGCTAAAGCCCAGAGCCCTGCCACACCCCACAGCCCAGCCCTCAGGCTACCGTCCTTATGCAACGTCTCACCTGTGCTGGGCGGGGTTGCCTGCCCCAGTAGTGCCTCTGAGCCCTGGGTGGTAACGACAGCTGTGGTACTCCCAGATGTGGCACCCCCTGTCCCATCTCCCACTGCGGTGCTGGGGAAGTAAGTATAATGTGTCTCTGCAGCTGCTCCCTCCGTGTCAACGGCATCGTCACTGGTGAAAGCTCCCTGGATCACTGCCTGAGGAGGGAGAGGAGAGCAGAGAGGAGCTCTATCGCCCTCAAGGTTCTGTTCCGTTGCAGAAGGAAGGAGAAACACAGAAAGCCACATGGCCAAAGATAGCTATGAATGCAACCCAACACAAAACTAAAGTTACTTACTTAAAATATGAGGTGTTTTTTTTAATTCAAGTATATATTTAAGATTTATCTTTATGTGTATGATATGAGCATTTTTCCTGAATGTATGTATATGGTGTGTGTGTGTGTGTGTGTGTGTGTGTGTGTGTGTGTTGCCTATGGAGGTCACCTGAAACCAGATGGTTGCAAGCCACCATGCAGTTATTAGGAACTGAACTCAGGTCCTCTGTAAGAGCAAGACATGCTCTTAAGTGCTGAGCCACCTTTCCAACTCCATGTTAGGCATGATCTTTGTAGATGACAGGGTAATGTCTTGATGACAAAAGGTTGAACACACCTGGACCCGGTGCTTTGGGCTAAAGTGGCCTGAGATGCACCCCACTGTCCCAAATTCCACCCCTCCGCCCTGTTGGCTCCCTAGTTATTGCTAAAAAGCTCTCCAGTCCTCTCACAATCTCTCCCCCAGTACCTGGGTCATAGACTGAGTGGCAGGGTAGCCACTGATGGCGCCAGAGCCCTCCGTCTGGCCATCCAGCTGCCCCTCAGACACCTGGATCACCCTGTACATCACCTAGAAGGAAGAGGAGGAGGAAGAGGGGGAAGACAAGAGTTAGTGTCCAGAGTCACAGGCCCTCTCAGAACAGCCTCTTGTATTTGCATATGTAAAGTCCCAGGAATCTTTCAGAGACAGACTTAACAATTGTCCCTTCTTCCCCCCCCCCCCCCCCCCCCCCAGACTCCCTCTCCCAGAGGCTTTAGCATACCCAGCCCCACACCAATCTCTAAGCTTCCAATTTGCATCCCAATAGTACAGTTTCATCTCGTTCTCCCAGCCACAGCTACCCAAACACGTTCATGCCCCTCCCTTACTCCCAACCCCAGGTGACATCTGCAGCCACCTGGCCCCCTCCCTTACCTGGCCCCCATTCTCAGTTCGGAAGACGTACTTGACGTTGGGGTCAGGGAAAGTGGCAGCTGACTGGATGCTGGCGATAGCTACACTAGTTGGGTCCTCTCCAGTAGCCACTGCACCTAAATTAAGAGGCAAAGAAAGATCTAGAAGTTAACTGCCTTTCTCCCTGTTCTACTTGCATGGCATTTAAAAGACACACAGTACGTAGGAGATGGACCAGTCATCTGAAGAGAGAGGGAGGCGAGGATGAGCTCATAAGTCCTGACTTGTAACAACACTCACCTTCCTGAATCTGCACTGTCCCCTCTTCAGTTTCAGCTGTTTTCTGCTGCCTATTTGTGGTGAAACAGAAACAAGAAACAAATGGAAGATGTGAGAAGTTCACTGACCTAGTAACATGGCTCCCAAACTCACTGGCATCCACAACAGATGTTAGGCTAGGTCAGACCATGACAGTATTACTGCTGGCTCATGGTGGCACATTCTTTAATCTGGACAGGTAGGTAGATCTCTGTGAGTTTGGAGCCTGCCTGGTCTACACAGTTCCAGGGCAGCCAGGACTATGTAGAGATTATTTTGTCTCAAAAAACAAAACAAAATAAGTCACCTCCTCCAAAGTGCCGAGATTAAAGGCATGCACTGCCACCACCGTGCATACTACCCTGATAACAGTAAGTAGCACTACAGCTTTATAGATAGGGAAACCAAATCACATAGCTGGTAAGTGATGAAGCTGGGAACCCGAACCCAGGTCTTCTCAAATCTAAAGCTTTAGTCATTCTGCATTCTCCCAGGCATTCTTCTTCACTCACCCCTTCATCTCTCTGTGAGGGGGCTCATCCGAGTCACTGGCCTTCTTTCAGAGGACTTCGTAGCTCCTTCCTCAAAGGCCCGAATGCTAAATCCTGGTGGAAACCATAGTTTGCAGTGAGGCCAGGCAACTGAGCAGCTTTCCAGGCCTAGAACCTAGGCTCTAAGAAGACACAGCCAGGAAAACAAACCAATCACTGCAAAGCGCAGTCAACTCCCCCAATTCTGATGGCAAGGGCTGGCCTGCAGTGACTGAAGAAGAGACTCTTCATGGACATGGTGGCTCACTCCTGGAATCCTGACTCTCAGGGAAAAGACAGGAATGGCGCAAGTTTGAGACAGGACTTGGGTGTAGAATGAGACTTTACAGAGAAAGAGAACAGATGTGCTTGCCCATGCCTGTAAGACCAATACTTAGGAGGTAGAGGCAAAAGAATTAGGAGTTCAAGGCCACCCTGGGGTGCAAAGCTAGTCTCACACCCGGCTGGGCTACAAGAACTTGTCCAGAAACAAAACAAAACTGGGCGACAGCTGGAGAAGCACTGGGAATGAAAGTCTAACTCCTGAGGCCTAAAATGTACACAAGAAAGGGACCAGGAGTGTGAGCACGTGTAATCGCAGGACACCTGATGCAGAGCTGGAGACAAGATGGTCCCCAGAAGTGGGGTGCCAACGTAGCGATGAAGAGTCCCTGCTCCTACTACGTGGAAAGACAACAACTGACCCCCTAAGGCTCTCCTCTAACCAAAAGAAAGGCTGTTAAGATGGCTCAGCAAACAGGGTGTGCTGCCAACAGCTAATTCCAGCACTTGAGAGATGGAGGCAAGTGGGTCTCTGAGTTCAAGGCCAGCCTGGGCTACAGAGTTCTAGGTTGGCCAGGACAACACAGAGAACTCATAGCTCAAAAACAAAAACAACCCCCTCACACACAAAAGAGGCAAAAAATAACTCGTGAAAGTCGTCTAACGCAAGTGCCCGGCCCACCACATGTATGTATGTGCACATATACACCATAACTTTTCTCTTGTCGACAGGGTTTCTCTTGTAGCCCTGGCCGTCCTGGAACTCAACTCTGTAGACCAGGCTGGCCTCTGAACTCAAAGAGATTCTGCCTGCCTCTGCCCACCTAGTGCTAGGATTAAAGGCGTGGTCATCACCACCCAGCTGCCCCTCCATTTTCATCCCAACTCCTGGTGGGTAGGAGACAGTTATCCTGGAATACTGAGAAACAATGTGTCTCAGGGTGATTTTTGAAGCTATTATGAGCCGGGCGGTGGTGGCGCACGCACACGCCTTTGGTCCCAGCACTTGGGAGGCAGAGGCAGGTGGATTTCTAAGTTCGAGAGTTCGAGGCTAGCCTGGTCTATCTACAGAGTGAGTTCCAGGACAGCCAGGGCTACACAGAAAAACCCTGTCTCGAAGAAAAAAAAAAGAAAGAAAAAAGAAAAGAAGCTATTATGGATCACTACATTATGGATCACTACTAAAGCTATTATATTCTGTGACAGCAGCTTCACAGGAACAGCTAGGGCAAAGTTTAGACCACCACTATCAAAACTAGTAACAAATACCCACCACACTCCCTGATTCTTCTTCCAGCTTCTCAAACACAAACTGTACTAAAAGAAATTCAAAGCTGGAAGGTGGCTGTGCCAGCCTTTGATCCCAACACTCAGAAGGTAGAGGCAGGCAGATCTCTGAGTTCAAGGCCAGCTCTACATAGTTCCAGGACAGTCAGAGCTACACAGAGAAACCCTGTCCCCAAAAAGCAAAAAGGAAGACAGACAGACAGACATTCTAGTCTTCACCAGGACTTTTGGTGCACAGAGTCCCAGCACGAAGGGGGCAGAGGCTGGCAGATCTTTATGAGTTCAATGCCAGCCTGGTCTACAGAGTGAGTTCCTGGACAGCCAAGGATATGTAGAGAGAGAGCCTGTTTCAAAATAAAATAAGAACAACAACAACAAAAAAATTCCAGTCCTCAAATCTAAGAAGGAAAAAAACCTGAAATCTTTTTTGCCACTAGGAAACCATCACTATGCATAAAACCTAGGTTTGGCTCTTGAGCACCATTCTGCTGTCAGGGCTCTTGTTTTGGGAGAGTCCAGATTTACAGCATCTGTTACAAACACCAGTGCCCAAGTGCATGATATTCAAGGCTTCTTTATTTTATTCAGCAAGGCTGCCTGTAGAGCAACACAGTTGCTAAAATGTTGCCATGACAACTCCAAATCAACTAAGCCTCAGGAGAAGGGGGAAAGAAAATCTCCAGGCTCAGGGTTCTGAAGGAGAAAAGACAATGGGGGAGGAATCTATCTACAATGTTCCTACCTTAGGACTTTTGACAACCCGCCAGAGAACGGGAAAAACAAAGAACTGTACAGTCAGATGCCTCCAGAAAGAAACAGCTGCATACAAAGCATTAAATAATCTCAACAAGAAAGGACAAGATTTTTTAAATGCTCTACCCTTAAGATCCTCCAAATCTTTCTAATCCAAAGAAAATCTTAGTTTAGCGGATAATAAGCCTTGGAAAGACCGTGTGCAATGAAAACGGTAAAAACAACAACAACAACAACAACAAAAAGGGAAGTGAAAGTGAAACTGTCTGTACAAAGTAATGCTGCAAAGGGAGGCAGCGTCCGGGTTTACCGACCACCTAGGGTCTCCATCCTCACACCGGCGGAGGAAGAGCTCCTCCGAAGCTAGTGGCATGGCCTGCAGGAGGAGGCAATGAAAGAGAGGGCAAGGCACGGGAGGCAACTGTATAGCCCACAGCTGTCAGCGCAACTTTTGAGGCCACCCAGCAACGGCGTTAGGCTACTTACTCAAATCTTGGTTGTACATCCGGAAGTGTTTCCTGAACATTAATAATATGTCACACGGAAATCAGCGTAGGATGTTGTGGTTTGCATGCTCAAAAGGGGAGCCCAGCAAATACCCTCACCAAGCACAGACGCAAAGTCAGAAAGAAAAAAAAGAAAAAAACCCTGAAAAACCAGATCAAGTTCCCAAAGAATTCAGGCGCCAGGACCTTGCCTGAGAACGAGACGTCTACCTCCAGGTCCACCAACTAGTAGTAGGCGCTTGGGGACCTCAGCACCCGCCAGGCGCGAGCCCCGCAGCCCGCGCGGTGACCCCGCCGGCCCAGCCCCGCTCGCCCGCGCCCCGGCTGCTCGGTGGAGGAGAGACGGGAAAGGGCGCCGGGGACCTTCCCAGGCCTGCGGCTCGCAGCCGGACACCGCAGGCGGGTGGGACGTGTGCACTCCAGGGCAGGGAGCAAGCTCGGCCCACAAAGCAGGGCAGGAGATAAAGAGCCAGGCACGGCCCCTTCCCCCAAAACAAAGGCTCGGTGCCCAGGCGTGGCCTTGCCTGAGAAACTCCAGCAAAATCAAAGGTGCCCCGCCTTGCCGATCCACCTGGTCTCGGGACTCGGGCTGCCTCCAACGCACTCACCCGCCCAGGCCGCTTCAGTCGCCAATTTCCCCCGGCAGCGTTCTCCGTCTTTGGATCTAGGTCTCGCCATAGACAGCTGCTCATGCGCAGTCCCAGCCTGCGGCCATATTGATGAGGGGCGGAAGTGTCTCCTCGACCCGCCCAGACTACTGACTGCCCCAGAGCTGCCGCACTTCCGTTCGCTTCAAACTTGATGCCGGCTAGAGCCGACGTGGGTGTGTGAGTTGTTACAGGCTCCGAAGAGAAACGGTATACTTGGGGACCTCACTAGAGTCCTACTAGTTTTCGCCAGAAACAGGAAAAAAAAACCCGACTAAATTGTACTTCCATCTTTGTGGTAGGCGGAGCCTTTTTTACTTCCAGTAAAAGGAAGTCGAGGGAGAAACGGCATTCTTAGGCGCCATCTTTCACAAGGGCAATTTGGGACGCCATCTTGGATCAGGGCATCATTTTGAGGAGTTTCCAAGTGGACTTTGGGACATTTCTGGGTGTACGGGTGTATGTGGATTTATATTCCTTTGTATTACCGTCAGCAATACTCCAAAGACCTCATAGCTTCCAGTTTTCCTCAGGCTGATAAATATGTGTGGCAACAAATTTGATTACCATTTTCCTCATTCTGAAGCCATTGACCCTGATCTGACACCTTGTGTGTGTGTGTGTGTGTGTGTGTGTGTGTGTGAGAGAGAGACAGAGAGAGAGAGAGAGAGAGAGAGAGAGAGAGAGAGAGAGAGAGAGA